TCCCCCCTCCGAGGGCTCTGGGGCCTTCCCCATGGGGCTGGAGCTGTCTGGGGCCGGGGCCTTCCCCGCAGGGCTGGGGCTGCCCGCGCCGGCACCGCTCTCCTGGCTGTCCGGGACCCCCCGCTCATTCACGCAGCAGTTCCTCATGGCCGTTTCCCCCGTGCTGCAGTGGGCGCGGTGCAGGGCCTCGCCCGCCAGCTGGCAGCCCGGGGCGCTGGGCTGGCACGTGGCCTCGGGGGCAGGCTGCTGGCCCAGGCGCTGCAGGGCCTCCAGCTCCTCAGCACTGCCCATGCCCGGGCAGGGGCTCTCCCATGCTATTTCGACAGCGGGGCCCAGGGCTTCTGCAAGAGAACACAGGGCGGGTCAGGCCCCCGCTCATGCCTGCTTCGCCCCAGTGCACACGTGTGCACATGCAGCCCCACGGCCCTGCACATGGAAGTGGTGGCTTAGAGAAGTCGTGGCAATGTCCCCAGCACACTTGTGCACTTGATGTGGCATAGCCCAGCCCCACACGTGACTCATGTGCGTTCTTGTGTCTGGGGAGGCAGCCGTGTGTGCAGAACTGCATGTGCAAGCAGGGGCATGAGGCTGTGACCCACTGTCTTCCTGGCAACTAAAGCCCAGCCCAACAAGACCGTGGCCTGCTGCCCTGGCCACGCTCCAAGTAGGGTAATCACATTCTGGCTCCTCCAGCCTGGCGGGGAGCAGGATCCTTCCCTCCCGGCGGCCCCACAGCTGCCAGCTCCCCCCAGGGCACCGGCAGCAAAGCATCACCGTGGTCCCGGGCAGGGACAGGCATGGGCTCAGGACCCAGACCTGCTCCCTGGGGCCTCCGCTCCACTCCCGCTGGCGGGCCGTGCCGGCACATCAGGGCAGGATGCTGCCAGGCGCCTTCCCACCTCCTGCCCGCACCGTCTCCCCGTGCCCGCCTGCGCGGCGGGACCAGGCGCTGGGTGCAGCGGCCCAGGTGCACGTGCTGCTCTGCAGGCCGCGGAGGAGCGCGGAGGGGGGCCGTGCGGAAACAGAGCCGCCTGCCTGGGCACAGGCGCCGTGCCGGGCATGCACACGCGTGCACCCCTGCACACACACGCAGGCACATGCATGTGCACACCCCCACGGGCACGCATGCACACACCCCGGCACGCACGCACGCACGCACATGCCCCCACAGGTGCACACATGCGCACACCCACCGCATGCACACGCATGCCCACGCACGCCACCAGGCCTGCCCCCTCCCTCCCCCGTCACCCCGGCCCAGAGGCGCCGCCT